CATGAAGGCCTCTATGGATCTGATGTCTGTTACCATAGATAAGTTCTGTCTATTCTCAAGCCCTTGTAAATGGAATCATCAGTACTTTTTGTGTCTGGGTCTTACATGCAGCACAGTGTTTAGAGACTCATTCATGTTGTTGTGTATATCATGAGTTTGTTCCTTTTTGTTGCTGGTAGGGTTCCATTGTATGCATATACCACGTTTCTTTATCCATTTACCTGTTGATGCTCACCTGGGCTGTTCCCAGCTTGTGGCTGCTCTGAACATTCTCATACCAGCCTTTTTGTGGACTTATGTTCTCACGTCTCTTGGATGAACATTTCAGAATAGGATTACTGGGTCTTAGAGTAGATGTATGTTTCACTTTCTAAGAAAGGATGTTTTCCAAAATGTTTGTACCATTTTCCACTCCCACCCAGTAGTGTGTGGGAGTTCCAGTTGCTCCACATCCTCACCAGCATTTAACGTTGTCAGTCCTATTTTAACTCTTCTAGAGGGTGTGTGAGGGTTTCTGGATAGTGCTTTTGACTGAGCTTCCCTCCTCACTCACACCTGAGTGATTGGAAAGAGGAGCTCTCTTGCAGGTGCACCTTTGGAGTGTGCTGGCAGCAGCGGTGGGACTCAGGCAGACATTTCTTCATGCCCTCAGCATGGGCCCCACCACAGAGTTTGCTCTGAGAATCTCAGAACCTTCCTTGAGAAGAGGACCACCTTTCCCCCTTGCACTCTTTTAAATATAGTAGATAAGAGGAAATTTCCCCTCTTAAAGAGTTTGCACTTCCTACTTGTGTGGGGCCCCTTAGCTGTGGTGGTCAAGAGAGCTGGAGAGAATTTCAGGGAACGAAAGGAGCAAGGAGACTCAGGAATCTGGCCCAGAAACAACCTTGTTACCTGGTGTGTCTGTGGCTCATGTGTGAGACAGAGCAAGCAGCACTAATTGCTGCTTGGAACTGACCTCCTGTTTTCCTGCCAGTTTTGAGGGTAAGAACATGAGAGGAAATTTTCTTCATGCTCAAATATCAATTTGTCTTGAATGTGGTAATATTGTGTCACACTTTTCACCATGGCAATTTCATGCTTCGTAATCTTTAGAGAAATGGACTTCACTTGCTCACTCAGAGTCAGCGGAATTTTAACTGCAGAACACAACAGTGAGGGCCTAACTCAGACTCCATTGCATAATGCCGCATGTTGCTGTAGCAAAACATGTTTACTCTTTTTTTTTTTTTTTTTTGAGATGGAGTCTTACTCTGTCAGCTAGGCTGGAGTGCAATGGCGCAATCTCGGCCCACTGCAAACTCTGCCTCCCGGATTCAGTGATTATCCTGCCTCAGCCTCCTGAATAGCTGGGATTACAGACGTGCGGCACCACGCCTGGCTAATTTTTGTATTTTTAGTAGAGACGGGGTTTCACCATCTTGGCCAGGCTGGTCTTGAACTCCTGACCTTGTGATTCACCCGCCTCAGCCTCCCAAAGTGCTGGGATTACAGGCATGAGCCACCACGGCTGGCATGTTTACAACTCTGTAGCCACTTGATTTGTGCTTAAGCCATGTAGTTCAGCACTAGATGGTGCAGGAGTGTTGTTTTGAGGCCATTTTTTAGGCTCCTAGATCAAGTTTGCATATGGCTAGGGCCAGCCAGCCACATGCTGCAACCTCTTCCGGGGGTATTTATAGCACAGTCACTAACATTTGCTGTTCCAGGATTGCCGTGCACCCTCTCCGCTTAGGAGTACTACTTTAGCAGAAGAGAAGGCAGGTGGAAGGCATCAAAGGGGAAAATTTGAGGTCAGCTTGAAATTGAGGACCACAGAGCCAGCCGGAAACTAGAACATTAGCTCTAGGGAAGGCAAGAGGTGATCAGGTCTTTCTGATAGTCTTGGTTTGGTAGTGCTTGCTGTCTGCTGGGTGTGTTGGATATGGTGCTGACACACAACGGGTGCGGGGATGAGGAAAATAGCATCCCTACTCTCAAGGACTCACTAATTCTAGGAGGAGGGACAGGTGTGAAGTCAGCTAAGTGGTGTGTGAGAAACCAACGTGTGATGGTTTTAGCGATGGCTCAAAGGCAAGGGTTAGCTATTCTTATTTTGTCTCTCCCATTGTGGAGTCAGTTTTCAGGATTTGGATGGGGGTTATTATTTCCCAAGGACTGTGTTTTGTTTTGTTTTGTTTTGTTTTTTCTTTCTTTTCCTCCCTCCCAGTCTTCCTCTGACCACACTTTTGCTCTCTAGACCCCCTCCAAAGCCTGGGCTGGGCTATAAAAGCTGCCACGCGCCATGAGTCCCGTTCACCCTGCTGGAGCGTTTCTGATGAAAGACTGGGTGCTGAGAGGGGCGCAGCCTGAGAGGTCTCAAGGTCCTGGGTTTCATTCGTCTCCCTCTCCGCCATTCCTCATTATCACACTGGCTGCGCTGCGGTTCCTCTCACACTGAGAGGGAAATTGGGAAAGGGCCAAGAGCACACAGCTGCCAAAGAGACGGAACACATTCTCCGTGGACGTGGACAGACTCTCCCTCCACCTGCCTGAATGGAGGGCTCTGGCCACTCTCTAGGTCTGGGGTCCCCAGGACACCCTTGCCTATCACTCCTGTGGGGAAAGGGACTTCAGAATATATCCATGCTCTTCACACACTAAGTGGCACCTGATGTTGTCATTTACAAATTCCCTCTACCAACACAGGTCCCGGTTTGACAGTAGAGGTATTGAGAGGAATCGTGGCCGAAAGAGAACAAGAAGTCTTGTTGGGCTTCATGAAAACCAGATCCCAAGAAATCCCCTCCTTGTCGTTAAATACACACTCACTTGCAGAAACAAAACAAAGAAAATAACAGTCATAATTTTAAAAAAACCTCCAGAGAAATCCAACTCAGAACTTTCCTTCCCAGTAGATAGTTGAATCATTTGAGATCGTTTGGGTCTCCAAGAAAGCGTAGGAGCCCATCATGTCTTTTGATCTGAAACTCTTGATGAATAGCATAGTGGTGAAGGAAATGCTGCTGCCTGTGTGTTCCACTGCACACCTAATATACTAGCAATACTTAGGAAATTCAGCCCTGTCCCCACAGGCCCCCAGAACTGAGAGACAGGCTAAGGCCCAGGGGTCTGGAAGACCAGGCTCTCCAAGGGGTTCAGAAATTCCAGATTTGGAAGACTCAAGCTATCTGCTGTGGAAATGCTTAATTCCTTTTCTCCGGACATTTTTGGAAGGATTTCTGCTTTTTTAATCTCCTGACTTTTTGTTTGTGACCAAGTTCAAATTCCAGAGAGGGAAACGGCCAATATGTGTGATTATTTCCTCTTGCACCAAGTGGAACTAAAGGAATGAACTTACTTCACAAGAAATAAATGTACCCTTTGGACCTCAAACTAAAATGAGTTTGCACAGTTGGTCTGGCCCCCGTGCTGTTCTTGCAGTCATTAAACATGAAAATGAAAAAAAAAAAAAAATGTCAGGGCAGTGCATTCATGACCTTTTTTTTAGATATGAGGCAGAAAAGAAGAAAAGAGCCTTGAAAAAGATTCTTTTATCCTGCACACTCCCTTGTGCAGGGTTGACTGCCTAGTAGAGAGGAGACAGCCTAAGGTTTGGATTGACTGGAGTTCACATTCTGGCTCCGTAGTTTAAGAGCTGTGCAATCTTAGCCATGTTCCTTAACTTCTCTGAGCCTTAATTTAAATGGGCATAATAGAACCTCACAGAGATGTTACTAAGATTGAAAGAGATACATACATAAAGATTTTAGCATTGGGCCCTGCACAAGGCATGCTCCCACTAAATGGGCATTATTATTATCATCTCATCATACTGTTACTATCATGATAAGATAATGTCAGTAACAGAATCCCTGGAAATGCTGGAGTGAATTCAATGCCAGGGGACTGAAAGCGTAGGACTGCTAAAGACGCCCTCCTTGCATTTCCTGGGGTGACGGGGCAAAGGGGCATGTGAGGCCTCACGGGTCACTGTTTCACTATTGCTGTGCCCCTCAGGTGATCTCTTCAGTGTCCTGGACTTCCCATTCCTGTACTTCTACAGATTCCATGGCAGCTGCTGTGCCAGGTAATCTTAAGCTCACTCATTTGTATGCTTTCTGTGCTGTCCGCTGTGTCTTCCTCTCTGTGAGGTTCAGGGTCACTGCTGGTGCCTGAGTGAGTGGCAGGAGAGAGTGGTGGTGGGTGCAGGTGAGGAAGCAGTCATTATGTCACCAGCAGGCTGTCACTTAGCACCCTTAGATGCTCAGGGCCAGCTTGGGCCCTGCCAGGACCCCTGGCCCATGGACGTGCCTCTGCCAAGACAGTGGTTTTTACACCTGCTCTAGAGCTAGGATTCTCCCACTTTTTTCCCCCTCCACAAGCAAATCTCACATAGAACTCCAATCTATAAAACTGATGAAATGGATCCAGTTCAAGGGAAGATTTGGGTTCAGAATCCCACCTGCTCAGCTTTCCCTTTGGCCTCCTTCTTGCTCCTTAAGGCAACCTCCAAAATAACCTCCACCAAACCCAAAGATTCTGGGAATTAGATTTTGGAAACTGATGGCTAAGAGATGTCTAGACAACAAGGTGATCATTAGTGCTTGGTCTTGGAAAGGACTCAGGGATATAGGCCAGTTGGAGGGCTACATCTGAACACACGGAAGTGTATCCTCACCTTCTCCCCGTGTCCTGCCATGATCACCACTTCGCTTGACCTCATCATGCCAAGAAGTGGAAAGGCCCAAAGCATGTGTGGCATCCTGATGTGGTAGAAAGACTGACCCAGGTTGAACCCCACAATTGCCGTTGCTAATTGTCTGATCTTTGGGTCTTAAGCTTCGTGCCAGGCCCAGTAAATGGTGGTCATTATGATGATCTACTCAGGTTGACTGTAAATACAATGTCAATAGATCATGAAGAATTGCTATGTAAAAATCAGGCCACCTGTTCCCACACATATCAAACAGTGCCTTGTGAAGCAGTGGTTCTTTACAATGTTAAAAAGCTGCTATGTGGCTAGTGGGTATGTCCTGCTCCTCTGGTGTGTTTGGGCCAAAAAAAAAAGAATCAATATTACAGAGTTTGTTTCTGCATTTGAACCTTGGAATGATTTATTTATCACCCTCAGAAAAATTTCAGGAAAACACTGACACAATTCACTCTCCTAGTTCCTGTCAGTTGGTTAGGCCTTGCCCATTAGCTGGGATCACATGGCATGAGTCTTCATGCTGGGCGGGCGGCTGCGGACTTGTTTCTCTTTGAGTCTGGTTATTTGGCAGCATGGGCAAGCAGGGTGTACCCGGGAGGTCAACCATTGTTTGGTTATTTGGAACAGAGCAGCACAGTTCACAGCCCATTGATGTTGGCTTTGTGGGGTGACAATTGGGCTCTATTTCTGCCCCTTTTAATCTGTAACTTTCTCATAATGCAACATGATAAATCAGGGTTTTGTTTTATTCTAAAGATCTGGAAATCTCTATTTGAATTGATGTGACTCTGTTACATTTTACCCATGCTTCTGTACAGAGCTCAGCCTCTTTGAGGAATGCATTGGTTTTCCCTGTGTCGTTCAGAGGCTCCACCATATCTCACACTGAGCATTGTCACCTTCAGGAAGTTCTGGGGGAGCTCAGGAGGGGCATGGTAGCCATAGCCCAAAGACCCCATTAACAGGGAGTCTCCTGCTCCCAGATTTCCTTCATTTCTGGGAGCCTCCCTCTGCTTTTCAGGTCTGCCTCCCTAGCAAGGGGTAGATGGGCTGAAAGTGCAAGGAGAAAGATAAGAGATCCATGAGTAATGTAAAAATGAGTCACAGACATAGAAGTCAAGCGATGGAAAAGAGCCCCAGATGCTTCCAGAAGCCTGTCAGTCACAAACCTGCACGAGCTTATCTTGGCCCAGAGTCTGCACTGAGAGGACAGGTCAGCATGGAATCATGCCACCCCTGTGGCTAGAGGCATAGAGGAGAGGGAAAGACTCAAGGGAAAGGAAGTCTGGGAGGTTGGGCAGGCACCTGTGAAGTTGTTACTTCCTTGGATGCAGAGGTGAGAGCCACCAAGAGGAGCCTGGAGCACTGCTACCTCCCTTTTCAGCCCCACCCTCATGACCACCAGTGCCTGGCACATCTCACTCTTTGTCTAGCTGGTCAAGAACACATTTCCATGAAGCGTCACGTCTTCCCCAGTTGTCCTGCCTCCAAATGCCAGGAAGAGTTTAGAGCTCGCTTTGCTTTGGCCCTGGCCACGCAGTGGCACTTTTGAAAATAGTTCCAGCACAGGCAACTACATCTGTCCACTGCTGTGCCAGCGCCCTTGCTGGTCCAGAGATCTGAAGAGCCATGGCGACCTGTATTCTGATTGTACCTGTGCCCCAGTTTCATTGTTAATAAAGTGAGACTTTGGGGCTAGGTAATCTTACTGTTCTAAAAGCCTCTGGTTTCCATTAAGATAGGATGAGGACCACTATGATTATTTCTACTTTAAGGAAACTGAACCTGAGACAAAAAAGGTGGGAAGGGGGATTTGGTTAAGGTAACGAGGGTCAGTAAGCACAGCAAGGAATAGAAATCCAGGCGCTGGGTGTGATTGGGTAGGCCTGCTGCTTACCCACGGGGCCTCTCTGGCTTTTGGGTGTGAGTAACTTGACATCTTAATCCATAGCTGTTCAGCCTCCCATGACTGCTGATGCAAATCAGAACAAACTTTGCAGGTCATCAGGACCAAACAGGCTGAAATCACACAGGGGAAACCTAATGCCTATCTTTAGTCCTGCCCCAAGAATGTGGCTGTGAACTAGTCTAATCTAATGAAGTGAAGGTACACATTTCTGTGACATTTGGCCTTAGGTGTGTTCAATTCAATTCAACCTGCTTCCAATTCAACCTGACAAGCATTTAGTTAATGTGTACCGTAACTGAGGCACCATGTTAGGCTCTGTTGAAAATACAAAGAGCAGCCCAAGATTGGGCCTTTCCTGCTCAGAGTTTAGGATCTGCATTGGAGCTGCGCACCAGTTCCTGTAATAAGGTCAGATGGAAGTGTGGCTGTCAAGGGTCGGAGATGCAAATGAAGTACAACTCACAGTACTTGCTTCTCTAGCTTGGAGTTACAACTCCAGTCATATCTCTTATTTTGCAATTTTCAAGTTCAAATAACTGTCACACTGAAACCACTACTTGCACATATTTGCAAGAAGTCAACCTTTCTCCCTCTAACACACACACACACATACTGTCTCTCTCACACACTCACACACACACACACACACACACACACACACACACCCCTCTTCCCCAATTGTCCTGCCTTCAAATGCCAGGAAGCATTTGGAGCTCCCTTTGCTTTGGCCCTGGCCACACAGGGCACTTTTGAAAACAGTTCCAGCACAGGCAACTATGTCTCTGTCCACTGCTATGCCCTTGCCCTTGTCGATTCAGACTTCTGAATAGCCCCAAGATGCTGCCCCTTCCTCAGGTTCCCATGAGTGGGGATCTTTCCATTCACACACATGTGTAGGCATCATTTCCAAAGCATACTTCCTATGGCAGGACGGCCTGGTTTGGGGGGCTTCTGGCCTCAGCCATATGTGTCACTGAAGCCAGCCTTCCCCTTCAGATTCTGATGAGCCTGGAGGCCAGTTCAGACTCTCTCTTCTCATATGGTGAGTTTCCCTTTGGAAGTCTTTTCGAGCCAGTTTGTCTTGCTTGAAAAAAAGTTAAGTACCTTGCCAAGCACCAAAACTCCAGAAGTTCTATGGGAAGGAACAGGAGGTGTCGTCCTCCACCTTTATTTTTGTTTCATGATTTAGCCAGAGACCTCCGAAATTTCTTTGCACCATTCCTCTCACCAACAAAATCCTCTTTCCTTAGAAAAACAGAGCTTAATGACTTTAAAAAATTTTTTATTTTCATCCAGAGATCACAGATCTAGAAAACACACATGAGGTAGAGGTTGCATAATAATTTGAAATTGACTGGTAAAATGTAGCAGAAACTAGTCAGCCATTGGCTAAGGGAAGACAAGCCTCACTAACAAAAGAATCTTTTCTCCTTCCAGTGGATTTTTGGGATTCTTTCTCGTGTTCAGTACAGTGAAGCTAAAAAGCTATCTGGCCCCAGCGCAGTGTGCAGCCTGGATTTTCTTTGCTAAGGTAAGAGACGAGAGGGGTGGGAAATTCTCAAGCGCCTTTGTATCCAGAGATCTCAGCGCCTGGGTAATGTGAAGCTGTTTGAGCTTCATGAGACCACTTCTAGGCACTGTCCCTGAGCCTGATCCTTCCTTCATTCAGGTAATGATTTCTGAGGCCTACTCATTTTATCAACGTGGCATATTTCATCTTTCTCACAGTCCTGAGACATGAGAGACATTCAGAGAAGCAAAATGTGATCTGTGTGCAGTAAAAAAGTGGTCAGTAAGAACTATCTCTGAGTGTCTGTCCTCAGATGTAGTATTTAGCCTGAAGATACTACAGAACAGCTATTTAAATTTATTCAGAAATCAAAAGGAAACCATGTTTAAAGGTTTAAATAGCCAAAACAATGTTGACAAAGATAAAGTTGGGGGACTTAAATTGTGTGATTTGAAAATTCAGTACTAAGCTAGAATAATCAAGGCATTATGGTATTGGTGTAGGGATAGGCATTTATGGTCAATTGATTTTCAACAAAGGTGCCAACCACAAAGAGAAAAGGATTTTTTTTTTTTTTTTTTTTTTTTTTTTTTTTTTTGTTTTTTGAGATGGAGTCTCACACTGTCGCCCAGGCTGGAGTACAGTGGTGCGATCTTGGCTCACTGTAACTTCCGCCTCCCGAGTTCAAGCGATGCTCCTGCCTCAGCCTCCTGAATAGCTGGGATTACAGGCGCACGCCACCACGCCCAGCTAATTTTTGTATTTTTAGTAGAGATGGGGTGTCACCATGTTGGTCAGACTGGTCTTGAACTCCTGACCTGGTGATCCACCCGCCTCGGCCTCCCAAAGTGCTGGGATTACAGGCGTGAGCCACCACACCTGGCCAGGATTGTTTATTCAACAAACGGTGTTGGAGCAATCAGATATCAACATACAAACCAACCTACAAATAAACAATCTTAGATCCTTGCTTGACATCATTAACTCAGAATGAATCACAGACATAAATGTGATACCAAAGCTGGAAAACTATTAGAAGAAAACACAACAAAAAGCCTTAATGGCCTTGGGTTTGGCAGATTCTTAGATATGACACCAAAAGCATAAATCATAAAATAATTGATAAATTGTAGTTTAGTTTATTTAAATTAAAACCTTTTACAATTCAAAAACACCATTAAGAAAATGAAAAGGTAGGCTGGGCGCGGTGGCTCACGCCTGTAATCCCAGCACTTGGGGAGGCCAAGGCAGGCAGATCACGAGGTCAGGAGATTGAGACCATCCAGGCTAACACAGTGAAACCCCGTCTCTACTAAAAATACAAAAAAATTAGCTGGGCGTGGTGGTGGGCGCCTGTAGTCCCAGCTACTCGGGAGGCTGAGGCAGGAGAATGGTGTGAACCCGGGAGGTGGAGCTTGCAGTGAGCCAAGATCATGGCATTGAACTCCAGCCTGGGCAACAGAGTGAGACTCCATCTCAAAAAAAAAGAAAAGAAAAGAAAAAGGTAAGCCACAGCCTAGGAGAAAATATCTGCAAATCATAATGTCTGATAAAGGAACTGTATCCAGAATATATGAAGATTTCTTATACCTCAATGAGATGACCTACAACCCAATTTAAAACTGGTCTAAAGGAAAGCAGTTTGGTGATTTCTCAAAAAACTTAAAACAGAATTACCATTCAAACCAGCAATCCTATTACTGGGTATATACCCAAAGGAATGTAAATTGTTCTACCATAAAGACACATGCACCTGTATGTTCATCACACATCAAGTGCTAGTCACAATAGCAGATGACATGGAATTCAGTCTAAACGCCCATCAATGTTAGACTGGATAAGGAAAATGTGGCACATATACACCATGGGATACTATGCAGCCCATAAAAAAGAAAGAGATTGGCCGACAACGGTGGCTCACCACCTGTAACCCAAACACCTTGGGAGGCTGAGGCAGGTGGATCACCTGAGGTCAGGAGTCTGAGACCAGCCTGACCAACATGGAATAACCCTGTCTCTACTAAAAATACAAAATTAGCCGGGGCATGTGGTGGCACGCCTGTAATCCCGGCTACTCAGGAGGCTGAGGCAGGAGGAATTGCTTGAACCCTGGGAGGGTGGAGGTTGCAGTGAGCCAAGAGAGCGCCACTGCCACTCCAGTCTGGCAACAAGAAGCAAAACTGCATCTCAAAAAAAAAAAAAAAAAAAGAATGAGATCATGTCCTCTGCAGCAGCATGGATGGAGCTGTGAGCCATTATCCCAAGTGAATCCACGTAGAACAGAACACCAAAGAAGGGGGAACATTAACACCTTATACAGG